AGGAAACCAAAAAATACTTAGAAACAAATGACAATGGAGACACGACAACCCAAAACCAATGGGATGCAGCAAAATCAGTCTAAGAGGGAAGTTTATAGCAATACAATCCTACCTTAAGAAACAGGAAACATCTCGAATAAACAACCTAACCTTGCACCTAAAGCAATTAGAGAAAGAAGAACAAAAAAAAAAAACCCCAAAGTTAGCAGAAGGAAAGAAATCATAAAGATCAGATCAGAGATAAATGAAAAAGAAATGAAGGACACGATAGCAAAGATCAATAAAACTAAAAGCTGGTTCTTTGAGAAGATAAACAAAATTGATAAACCATTGGCAAGACTCATCAAGAAAAAAAGGGAGAAGACTCAAATCAACAGAATTAGAAATAAAAAAGGAGAAGTAACAACTGACACTGCAGAAATACAAAGGATCATGAGACATTACTACAAGCAACTCTATGCCAATAAAATGGACAACCTGGAAGAAATGGACAAATTCTTAGAAATGCACAACTTGCCAAGACTGAACCAGGAAGAAATAGAAAATATGAACAGACCAATCACAAGCACTGAAATTGAGACTGTGATTAAAAATCTTCCAACAAACAAAAGCCCAGGACCAGATGGCTTTACAGGCGAATTCTATCAAACATTTAGAGAAGAGCTAACACCTATCCTTCTCAAACTCTTCCAAAATATAGCAGAGGGAGGAACACACCCAAACTCATTCTACGAGGCCACCATCACCCTGATACCACAACCAGGCAAAGATGTCACAAAGAAAGAAAACTGCAGGCCAATATCACTGATGAACATAGATGCAAGAATCCCCAACAAAATACTAGCAAACAGAATCCAATAGCACATTAAAAGGATCATGCACCATGATCAAGTGTGGTTTATTCCAGGAATGCAAGGATTCTTCAATATACGCAAATCAATCAACGTGATACACCTTATTAACAAATTGAAGAATAAAAACCATATGATCATCTCAATAGATGCAGTGAAAACTTTTGACAAAATTCAACACCCATTTATGATAAAAACTCTGCAGAAAATAGGCATAGAGGGAACTTTCCTCAACATAATAAAGGCCATATATGACAAACCCACAGCCAACATCATCCTCAGTGGTGAAAAACTGAAACCATTTCCATTAAGATCAGGAACAAGACAAGGTTGCCCACTCTCACCACTCGTATTCAACATAGTGTTGGAAGTTTTAGCCACAGCAATCAGAGAAGAAAAAGAAATAAAAGGAATCCAAATCGGAAAAGAAGAAGTAAAGCTGTCACTGTTTGCAGATGACATGATACTTTACATAGAGAATCCCAAAGATGCTCCCAGAAAACTACTAGAGCTAATCAATGAATTTGGTAAAGTAGCAGGATGCAAAATTAATGTGCATAAATCTCTGGCATTCCTATACACTAATGATGGAAAATCTGAAAATGAAATTAGGAAAACACTCCCACTTACCATTGCAACAAAAAGAATAAAATATCTAGGAATAAACCTACCTAAGGAGTCAAAAGACCTGTATGCAGAAAATTATAAGACACTGCTGAAAGAAATTAAAGATGATACAGATAGATGGAGAGACATACCATGTTCTTGGATTGGAAGAATCAACATTGTGAAAATGACTCTACTACGCAAAGCAATCTACAGATTCAGTGCAATCCCTATCAAACTACCACTGGCATTTTTCACAGAACTAGAACAAAAAATTTCACAATTTGTATGGAAACACAAAAGACCCCGAATAGCCAAAGCAATCTTGAGAACAAAAAACAGAGCTGGAGGAATCAGGCTCCCTGACTTCAGACTATACTACAAAGCTACAGTAATCAAGACAGTATGGTACTGGCACAAAAACAGAAATATAGGTCAGTGGGACAGGATAGAAAGCTCAGGGATAAACCCACACACATATCGTCACCTTATCTTTGATACAGGAGGCAAGTATATACAGTGGAGAAAAGACAGCCTCTTCAATAAGTGGTGCTAGGAAAACTGGACAGGTACATGTTAAAGTATAAGATTAGAACACTCCCTAACACCATATACAAAAATAAGCTCAAATGGAGATCTGTAAGATCTATATGTGATCTTATAAAGATCTGTATGTGACGCCAGAAACTGTCAAACTCTTAGAGGAAAACATAGGCAGGACACTCTATGACATCAGTCACAGCAAGATCCTTTTTGACCCACCTCCTAGAGAAATGGAAATAAAAACAAAAATAAACAAATGGGACCTAATGAAACTTCAAAGCTTTTGCACAGCAAAGGAAACCATAAACAAGACCGAAAGACAACCCTCAGAATGGGAGAAAATATTTGCAAATGAAGCAACTGACAAAGGATTAATCTCCAAAATTTACAAGCAGCTCATGCAGCTCAATAACAAAAAAACAAACAACCCAATCCAAAAATGGGCAGAATACCTAAACAGACATTTCTCCACAGGAGATATACAGACTACCAACAAGCACATGAAAGAATGCTCAACATCATTAATCATTAGAGAAATGCAAATCAAAACTACAATGAGATATCATCTCACACCCGTCAGAATGGCCATCATCAAAAAATCTAGAAACAGTAAATGTTGGAGAGGGTGTGGAGAAAAGGGAACACTCTTGCACTGCTGGTGGGAATGTGAATTGGTACATCCACTGTGGAGAACAGTACGAAGGTTCCTTAAGAAACTACAAACAGAACTACCGTATGACCCAGCAATCCCACTGGTGGGCATATACCCTGAGAAAACCATAATTCAAAAAGAGTCATGTACCAAAATGTTCATTGCAGCTCTATTTACAATAGCCAGGAGACGGAAGCAACCTAAGTGTCCATCATCGGATGAATGGATAAAGAAGATGTGGCACATATATACAATGGAATATTGCTCAGCCATAAAAAGAAACGAAATTGAATTATTTGTAATGAGGTGGATAGACCTAGAGTCTGTCATACAGAGTGAAGTAAGTCAGAAAGAGAAAGACAAAGACCATATGCTAACACATATATATGGAATCTAAGAAAAAAAAAATGTCATGAAGAGCCTAGGGGTAAGAGGGGAATAAAGACACAGACCTACCAGAGAATGGACTTCAGTATATGGGGAGGGGGAAGGGTAAGCTATGACAAAGTGAGAGAGTGACATGGACATATATACACTACCAAATGTGAAATAGATAGCTAGTGGGAAGCAGCCGCATAGCACAGGGAGATCAGCTCGGTGGTTTGTGACCACCTAGAGGGGCGGGATAGGGAGGGTGGGAAGGCGGGTGACGCAAGAGGGAAGAGATATGGGAACATATGTATATGTATAACTGATTCACTTTGTTATAAAGCAGAAACTAACACACCATTGTAAAGCAATTGTACTCCAATAAAGATGTTAAAATAAAAAGATGTAATGATTCATGTCTGGAATGGAATTCAAAACAGGTACCTATTCTACTTGAAAATTTCATTCCTACAACTTAATTTGGGAAGAAGTGGTCAGAACTGCCATCTCTCTCCCTCTGTCTCTCTGTGTCTCTGTGTCTCTGTCTCTCTCTGTCTCTCTCTATATCTATATATCTATATATCTGTATGTTTATATTTATCACATTGACACAGCCACAGTGTGTGTTCTCCTCACCCCAGCCAATCTCTGGGAAGACTGACCTTCTCCTCTCCAGCTAATCAAATTCATGTCCCAGGCAAAGTCCTGCAGTCTGTTAGGGCTGCCTGGGCATCCATGAGCTTTTGAGGTCCAGCCTCCATGTAAGCTATTTTGTATACCAGCAACAAGCAGTCAGGTACCTAATTGGGATTCAGTAGAAGTTTAGGGAAATGAGGACCTTTCTCTAGCCTCCTGTAATCACTCCCCTGCTTAACTCTAGTGTACTTGGTGTCGGTACCACTCATTTATTGTTAATTAGCCTCTTTAAGACTGATTGTTTTATCCTTCCCATCCAGGTTGCCAGTTCCTTGAGAAGAAGGATAGTGCTATATTTTTTTCTCCATATTTCTCTCTAATGCCTAGTACAGAGATGGTGCTCATAAATATTGTTGATTTAAACACGGTTCCTTTTTGCTTGACAGCAGTTTCTGTTGGAAACCACTTTAGAGAACTGATTGTGCAGAAGGCACAATTTTATTGTAAGTACATCTATTAAAAAACTGTCTTGGGCTTCCCTGGTGGCGCAGTGGTTGAGAGTCCGCCTGCCGATGCAGGGGACACGGGTTCGTGCCCCGGTCCGGGAAGATCCCACATGCCACGGGAGCCGCTGGGCCCGTGAGCCATGGCCGCTGAGCCTGCGCGTCCAGAGCCTGTGCTCCGCAACGGGAGAGGCCACAATAGTGAGAGGCCCGCGTACAGAAAAAAACAAACAAACAAACAAACAAAAAACTGTCTGACTCCTATGCATTTCAAACGGAGAGAGAAATTGTTATCAGCCAGTTGGTGCTTAGTTTGGTTCAACCACATTTACTGAGGAGTTGCTTTGCACCTGCTACTGAACCAGGCAATGTTCCTGCCTCACAGGAACATTCCGAGATGACAGGAGGTGTCTTGCTGCCTACCCTTGCCCTGAGGATAATGCTTGTCCTCACCAATGGGTCATAGATGACCAGCGGGCAGTGTACACAGTTCCAGCCACCTGGCCTGGACCTTCCTTGGTGGTGACTTGGACCTGCAGCTTACCTAGTGCAGCCCCCTTCTGGGTGGTGCCAAATTGCTGCCTCCTCGCCCATCCTTCACCCTCCTTTGGGAGCCAGAGAGATTTGGCAGTGAGTTAGGTGACTTGACTGTGAAAAGTCTGCACTGTGTCTTTTCAGTAAACTTCAAACTTATTGGCTTAAGAAGTAATGTGCAAAGGGGAAATAAATGCTGGTAAGGCTAATAACAGGGATTTCAAGCTGTGTTTTAACAAACCAGTCACAGAGTATTCACGTGTTCATTCACTGACATGTTCCATGGCAGGAGCACCCCCATCCTGCCTTCCCCCGGTTCCAACTGTTGTGCCGCTGCGGGATTTGGTCTGAGCCTGGGCAGAGCCCCCCTTTAAGAGCAGCCCTCCAGCTTCTATCACAGCAAGAGTCTGGTGGAAGTGATTCTTGCCTTCGCGTCGCACACAAAGGGGAGGAGCTCTTTAAAGGGACCTTCCTGCTCCTGCGTGCAGCTGCTAACCGGTTGGTGCGGACACAATGACCCAGGCTTCCGCCTGAAAATGAGTGGGGAGGGGTCTTGAGGAGCCCCCACGACCTCCCGGAGTGGGGCAGGGAGGGAGCTGACAGCTGGAGTGGCTGGAGACCACCGGTCCCCGGGGAGCGGCTTGGGATTAGCTGCTTCTTGGGATGCTCAGCGCGCCAGTAGAGCATCCTGCCTGTGGTCCAGAGGGTGCTGGCAGCGCATCTTGCGGTATGCCTGCGTGGATTTGAGCCATCGCCCAGAGGCGAGCCCGCATTCAGACACCGTGGACAGGCTCCTGGCAGGGCTGTGTTCAGTCAGCACAAATGCTTAGCTCCAGGCGTCTGCCCAAGCCTCCCTACTACATGGATTTGGCTGTTTAATCAACCGAGATTACTGCCCGGGAAGATTTGCCAGCCTGATCCGCGCTCCCGCTGCTGTGACAACTTCAGGGCTAGCTGTTTACTTCTCTCGGTGCCTGGGACTCTGTCCTGCACCGCAGTCACTGCTGCCGCTTTCCCTGGCTCTGAAGTCAGCTGCAAGGACTCCCCTGCCCCGAGGAAGGGGGAGCAAGGAGGGGTTAAAAGGCAAGCAGACCCTCCCAACTGCTCGACCTGTCTTGACTGCTTGTGTTCCGGGGTTCTGAGAGGGACCGTGCACTGCCCGGGGAAGCAATGCAAGTCTCCATAGCCTGCACAGAGCATAATTTGAAGAGTCGGAATGGTGAGGAGCGACTTCTGAGCAAGCAGAGCTCCACCGCCCCCAATGTGGTGAACGCAGCCCGGGCCAAATTCCGCACGGTTGCTATCATCGCACGCAGCCTGGGGACCTTCACCCCTCAGCATCACATCTCTCTCAAAGAGTCCACCGCAAAGCAGACTGGCATGAAATATAGGTATGGATGTAAGATTCTCTCTGTCCCGGGTTTCCGTGTTCTATACAGGTGCAGTGGAGACAGTTCAGCGATTTTGAAAAGTGACTTACTCATTGGTGGGCTGCTTAATTTAGAATTCTCAGGTGTCTTTAAAATAGCTCCTTAGGAAAACCCAAGGTGGTTGTGTTGTGTTGTGTATGTATAGGATTTAAAAACTGTGGCCCATTTTGTATATTTTAAAGTGTTATGAACACCTTAGGAGCCGTATGACTTCCAGTCTGCAGAGAATAACACAGCTGCTGGAAACTGGTATTGAGATCAGGGCAGCTTTTCAAGAGCAAACGTGCTTGTCCTATTTTATGGTATAGACTGTAGTTTCTGTGATAATACTATTAAAAATAGTTTCTATCTAGTACTGTATAATTTATCTTTTGAAAGCCCAAGGTAACAAATGGTATGAAAGCTTTTAAGGAAGTTTTGTTGCAGGGAAGAAACACCTATAATCTTAAGTTAGTTTGAACACTGACATACTTAAACCTAAATTACTGCTTGAAATACAGTGCAGACCTTGTTGTGAAATATGGAGAAAAAGTCAATTGTTGTAATACCGCTGGTTTCTTCATACATTTTTAAGCTCCCTCTTCCTCTGTGTTGCTTTCTAGAGTTGGAAATCTTCCTGGTAATGGTTGATATTCTCTTTAATAGGGAATGACTGAAATTCGATAAGTAGAAAATTCCATTATTCAATTCTGTGACTCCTGCCTCCTTATTGTATCTGCTTTGTGCTGAGTCTTCCTGACTTTATTTCTTTAAAACTACTGTGCTTCTAGTCTCTAAAAGTCTTTGCGTATGTAGAGAAGAGCTTATGGTGCATCTCCCAAAGGCTTTGGTGACTCTGGTTTGCAGATATGACTTTGTCCATTATTTATATTTAACTATTCCTCATCTTTGTTAGGAACCAGGTTTTAGGATATAAGGAACTTAATGCAATTAAAATAAGGCACACCTAAGACTATGTTTCCCATGTGAGGTTTCTGAAATAAGCATTCAAACCAATTTCTATAAAAGTTGTCCTTGAAAAAGTTTCTTTGCAGAGTTAAGAGGAAACTTTAACAGGAAATCTTCTCATTGAAAAACACCAAGCACTATTGTTTTGGTATATTTTTGAGCCATTAAGAAAGAAAGCCATGAATGGGGTGGATGGACCCACTAAAAATTATAGCTAAAGCTCTTTGCCCCAACTGCAGTACAATGCAAGCAGCTGACTCCAGGCAATTCCTTGAAGTGTTATCAGCGTGAGAACCTCTGCTTTTCTTGATATTTCCGTGGTGGAGAATGGGACCCCATGACAGGTCGGTAACTAGGACTGCAATCTCGAGTGCATTGGCATTTTCTATTGCTGCTTCTATGGCACACCCCCAGCCCCTGCCCTGTGGCCATGGCGTTGCTCTGCATGCAGTTCATCTGGCCAGATGGAGATGGAGAGGAGCTGCTGCCTTCCTGGGCAGGGCCCCTGGGAATGAGAAACTCAGGGTTAAGGCAGATCGCAGAGGTGGTTTGAACTGTGGCCTCCAGCAGCACCTTGAGCTTTCTTTTTGTAAACCAGAAGGAATAAAAAGTAACACCCTGAATTTCTTGTGGCACAGTTTCATACTTGCTTGTGGATCAGTGTATTGGAAGAGTTTGGTCTTATGAAGGCAGGAGATTTCCATTAAGTTTTTTCTGGTAATACAGCTCAGCTCAGATTAGATGGTAATTATCTCTCTTTACCAAAAGCTCAGTGTGTAAGATTCACTTGGGCATCTTTCATTACTGGCAACTAAAGAGCTCTTTTCTGACAAAAAGCTAGCCATCTGCAGTCTTCAGGATAACTTGAGTTATTTGTTGTTTATGGTGACTGGACAAGTTACCTTGTTTCCACTCCCCCTCTTATTCTGAATTGTTCCATTGCTGACAGGCCGGTGGCTTTAGGCCGGTGGCTTTGTGTGTTTGTGTAAGTGTGACTTAACCCCTTTCTCTTTCAATTTCAAATTCTACTTAGAGTGACCTTTAGGAAAGAGATTAGGAGGTTATACCAAATGTACACTAAGACTTCCTTAGGGTTGGAGAAAGAAAGAGAGAAAGATAGAAGTGGGAGGGAGAGAGACTAACTAATACACTTTATAAAAATGGCAGAAATATTTTTATGAGCTGAGTTATCTTTTTCTTTGACATTGATGTCACTAAAATATAATGTGCATGTAGGGGCTATTTATTAATGATAACAAATAGCAAACCATAAAAAATAAAGCCATCATGTTGGGGAGGTAATTGGCTTGGGTAAATAATCAGGAGAATGCCTGAAGGAACTAAAATCAGTGGCTAATTGTATTTACAATAATATTCTCATCCTTGAAAATGATTTCCATACGCATAACTTAATCTGGGATCCATGAATCCTATAGAAAATCAAAAATATAGTCTTTCTGTGTGTATTTTTGAGGAGAGGGTTCATAGCTTTGGTCAGAGTTTTAAAAGTGTCTACCACTGAATAATGGTCAAAAAACAGTGTTGTGGAGTGAAGAGGTATTCATTTAGTCAATAAATATTTACTGAACACCTGTTCTGTATCAGGAACCCTATTAAAACTGGGTACAAAAAGGTGCAGAAACCAGACAATGTTTGGGGCTTGCATTCTCGGGAAAACAGACCATGAATAAGAAAACACACAAATATATAATAATTATCTACTATGAGATATTCTTATGAAAGTCATATTTTGGGGGGGTCATAGTCATAGCTCAGCCAACCTGTTTGTCCATTTTGAGGTTACCATCTCTGTTTCAGTTCCAGAGTTATGGTTGCATCTTGGGGCATGAGTCGTTGTGCCCATATCTGCCACCTATTTGCCATCCCAAGGACTTTGTTCAGGTTCCATCCTTGCTGTAGGGTGCTACCTGGCCATTGAGGACCTACTTATAACCCTGATAAATGAGTAGAATGCCTTTTACTCATTTAGCACCTTATGATTTTTAAAGCACAGCTCTCATATCATAGACTGTAATTAGCATCCATTAATCAGGAACTCATGAACTTGGGATTTTAGAAAAAATTAATATACACTTGTATGAAGTATCTGAATTCTGCAAGAATAAAATACTCAAAGCCACTATTACCGTCACATCAGCATTGTGCAAGAATCTTGCATAAAATTAACTATTGTTTCAAGGCTGAGGATGAGAAAAAAAAAATCCCCTAGAACAATCTGCTATTCACATGTCACTGTCAGAGCAAGAGAACAAGATTCCACCTGCCATTTATCTTGGGGACTATCTTGTGTGTAAATAACACAGGACTATTATGTTTCTTATACTTGTGCCTTGTTAATACATGAGAGGTCCTTTATTTTAGTTTTGCATATATTTTTAATATTAGAGCTCATCATACCATGTTAGAGTTTGTTGTATACTCTGTGACCATATATGATAGATGTATACATGATATATATATACATGATAGATATCACATAAATGTAAGTACATATGTGGACATTTTATCCTAAGAAAGCCAAATCACTCAGAACACAAGTTAAGCCAGATTTGTTTGGTTGTTTTTACTTGTTTGATGGGTGTTTTTTTAAAATAACTTTTTAGAATGATCTAGCTACTAGTGTTGGACACGATCTCAGAGCTTTTGATATTCAGAATTGAGCACATTTGTACTGAGCTACTCCCCTATTCTAAAATTGTTACTTTAGTTCCAGAACAAGTTGAATATCAATGAACCCAATTTCATGAAGAAAAATTTTACCTGTAACATATGCATTATATCAATATAACCTTGTGTTATATAGTTGCATAAAACATGCTTTGAAATTCTTAAGAGAATTACTTACAAAAAGGAAACTGAGCAATAATCTTTAACTCCACTAGAAAACTTCTCTTTGTTTTTGGAGTTAATCCACTTACCACTTTTGTCATCATTAAATTTTTTTATTCAAATAATTATAGATCACAGGAATACACACACAAAAAAGTACAAGGAATTTTGGCGTACCCTCAGTCATGTTTTCTCCACTGGGAACATCTTGTATAACTATAGCACAACATCAAATCTATTAGACTGACATTGGTACAATCCACAGAATTTATTCAGATTTTACCAGTTATACATGTATTCATGTGTGTGTATGTTTCTGTGTCTATGTAATTTTACCACATATAGAAGTTTGTGTAACTACCACAACAATGAAACATGAGAATTGCTTCATTACCACAAGGCTCCCTCATACTATCCCTTTATAGCCACATCCACGTACTCCTCCCCAGTCCCTAATCCTCAGCAACTAATCTCTGATCCATCTCTATAATTTGTTTCAAGAACATTATACAAATGGGATCATACAGTTTATCATATTTTGGGAATTGGCTTTTTTCCATTCTGCATAACTCTCTTGAGACTCATCCAAATTGTGTGTATCAATAGTTCATTCCTTCTTCTTGCTGAGTAGTAGCTCATGGTATGTATGTTTCACAATTGTTTTAACCATTCATTCACTGAAGAGCTATCAGGTTGTTGTCATCATTAGATAACTTCAGATACAATGTTATCCCCAAATTTCTTCAGTGCCATTCTGTAGCTCAGGGGATAAAATCCAGACTACCTAACATGGTACCTGAAGTCCTTCATGGTCTGGCTTCTATCATGCTTTACAGTCACCACTCTTTGTTCTTATCTTATCTCTGACCACTTGTTTTATCAGAAGTACCTACTTGAGAGAGAACTCCTTATAGTACACTGGACCTTCTTGGTTTTTTATGCCTCTGTATCATTTTCCATGCTGGTCCTTCTACCCTGGAATTCTCCTACCTTACTTGAACTGTTAGGCAAACTCCTATGCATCCTCCAAGACCCAACTCTAGCCTAACCTCCTCTGTGAAACCTTCCTTGGCTCCACCCCTTATAGCATTAAATACGTGTTCTTTAGTGCCTCCACTGCATCAGATTCTTACTTCTGATATGGAAATTATTGATTGCATAGT